CGATTTTAAATTCATTCAAATATTATCAAAGATTTATAAGTGATTTGGAATTATATATTATATTATTATTATATATATGAGAATATTATTTTTTTTTGTTATGATTGCTTTTACAAAAACGTTAGTTTAGCTAGGAATTATTGTTTAGGATAATAGATACAATTAATTAGTAGTTTATTTCTTGTTAGAATATAATATATATTAATATAACAAATTTATAGAAGAGTTTCAAAAACCGGAAACTGTTTCGAGTAATAGTCTTAGCATCCATTATCATTGGTTATTAAACACAATAACTATTGTATATTTTCTTAAAAAAAATTATTTTTCACTACTTTCATTAAATTAGTATTTTTGATTATCATTTTAACTTATGTGTAAGGAAGATTAATGTACATACATTTTATTCGAAAAAGATTTGATAAAAAAATATTGTAGAGTCAGTAGTTTAACTTTGATATTCAGTATCAAAAAAGGATTTGACACCATTAAAAATTACCATAATTAATAACTTTTTTTTAAATTAGCCGGTTAAATATTAATTAAACTTATGCTATAATATCCCCTATAAAATGTGCTGTTAAACTTAAAAAGTATTTAAAATCGGCTATAATACCTATTAATAATGATTGAATTTGTCGAAAAATATATAAGATATATATGTATATAATATTTATTTGAGAATTATTATTAAATTAAATTTTTTTGTAATTAAGCATATATTTTTAATCTAGAATAATGAAAATAGTTTGATATACAGAGTGATTATAATTTATTACCTCAGTTATTTAATGACAAGGTCATCAAAACTTTATTATCCGATAATTCTCTTTTATACACAATTAAAAAAAGAAACTTTTTCATAGGTATACTCATTTATCAATTGAACTTTAATGATTTTTCGAGGAGCTTAAATATTTTAATAACTAAATAGGATTTTTATACATTTTTAACAAAAATTATGGTTGCAAATCGCTAATTTAATATAATATATATGTAAAAATAACCATAGTGAGGATTCAAGAATTATGATACTTAATTTTCAATAGTTTATATTGAGTATTAATCAAAAAAAAATAATTAATTGTTTTATATCATATATCATGTAGTAATTATGTTGTCATGTTATAATATCAAAAAACTTATCCTATGTTTGAATGATTTTTGCGTTCTTCGATACGTAGTATTAAATTAAAAAGTTTACGTGATATTTACAACAGTATATATGATGCGACGAAAATCCGATTTAACTATAAAAATACATTTTATAATAATGATGATAAATAAACATTTAATTTACTTTTAATATAAACTAATTATTTAATAAATTATAATTATGTTAGTAAGATTAATACGTTTATTGGAATTTAATGTTTAGTAAATTAAGTTTTATTTTAATGCATCTGGTGAAATGAGATAATCGATAGGCGGCCCTAAATTAGATTAAATATTGAACTCTAAACTCGTGTTAATTGAGTTTCTAAATTAATGTACTTGCATTCAATCTACAGGTTCATAATATTATACATATATATATATATATAAATACATTTATTATACATATATATTTACTCAATGTAAATAGGAGTTTGATTTATATTAATTCTAAGCGAATGGAATGATTAACTACGCCACGCGTAATGCGTTTGTGTGATTATAAGTGTCTGACTATACATTTTCTCATTTCTTTGTGTTTTAATAATTAAATAGTACCTATATAGAGTGATGGATTAATAGAATTATAGATAAAACTATTTTTTATAAATATTATTCATAGTTGTTTTTCCAGTAGTTCAATACAAGTTATAAAAATAATAAACTATAGTGATTAATATAATATAGTATATTATATCGTGTAGATGAATTAACGAATAATAATTGTTAAGCATTATTTAATATTAAATATTTTCTTGTAAATACGCTTATTTAAATTAGGTTCATGATCATTGAACATATTTTTAGGTTGACATTTAAAAATGAGATCATTTATTAAATATTGAACCTCTCACAAATTAAATGCAATACTTGAATGCGCATTAATTATTAAATTATTAGGCTTTAATACCTATAATATTAAATTGGGATTTCTAGCCGCTCATCTGTTCCAATTCTTTACTTTTCACAAGTAATTTGAGATATTATCCTGATAATCGTTTACATAATACATGACATATTATAATGTTTTATTTATGTCTAAGTAAATGCTAATATTATAATAGTTTATGCAATTATTATATTATTATGTTGAAGTATTTCAGTGATACAAAAATAACATCGGGATTATATAATATAAATTCAATTTTTATCATTGTAACCTAATAAGTATGGTATTTATGATATACGGTCAAAATAATAAATTTGGATTAATACAATAAAAGCATTATTGTAACACGGCGTTCTATATAGGCTTTTCGGGTACATTTCTGTCGTGTGGTCGGTTTTTCCGAAACGTTTTAAATGATATGGTAAGATTTACATTAATTATTATTATGACTTACGTTTACCTATTATGCTTAGTACATTGTCAAAATTTTAGATTAAAATATTTGTCATTATATTAAAGAAATAATTTTGATTAAAATTAAAATTTATAAATAGATAAAATAGATAACATGTTATTTATAAAATAGTTCTACGAAATGTATGTAGTAATATTCAATTGATTATCGTTTTATTATAATGCTATCATAATTATATAATGTTAATCAAATCTTATATTGACTTAATATCTCTTTTGGTATACTAGAAATTACATGAATACAGTTATAACCATAAACCAAATAATAGTAGTACTATTAATAATAATATAATATTGTACATAATAATGTTGAATGTAAATCATTACTTGTGAAAATATAATTATTTAAAATTTTCTCGATAATTTTTTTATTAGAAGATCATAAACTTTACTAAAAGTTCAATATTAATACAACAAGGTAAAATAATGAACTTCCACAAATTTTTTTCAGATTAGTTTTGGGTAACAATTTGACTTATACAAAAAAGTTTTATGAATTTTGCATTGTAACACTTGATACTTAGTATTGTGCACTTTATGATAGAATGGACTATATTAATAATTTCACAAAGTCTTTTTAATTGCGCCTAAAGAAAATAATAACGTTTATATTAAGTTTATAGTTTTTAAATCTTTGGTAAATCATTTAAATAATTTATTCTATTAGAGTTAGGTTATTATCATAATATTTTATCATAAAATAAACTTTAAATATTAATTTAAATTATTACCAATACGTATTATTCCTATTTACTTATTTTAAATTAAAATACAATAATAAATGTTTTTAATTAAAAATAAAGTACATAAAATATGATAACTTGCTTTTTTTTAAGTTTAATTTATCTGAATAATTTAAATTTGAATTACAAAGATTTTGTTTTTGGTCCGGTTCGAACCTGATTTTAAATTATAATTATTATTGTTATCTGAATGGTTTTAAATAAAGTGTGTTTAAGAAATTTCACATTATTATATTAATTTATAATAGTTGAATAACAATGTAAATATTAATTTGGCTACATACCATAATATTATGGACTGCAATATGTTTTATCTGAGTAAATATTTTAAGTATAATATTTTATATGATGTGTTTAATTTTAAAGATTACATGAATTATATATTTTCATATTTAGTGACTTTGAATTAAAAACAATGTTTTATTAAAAAGTTAGGTAATATCGGAATATATATTTTTTAACGATTTTTGAATTATTTAGTCGTTTTATTTTGCTTATTTTTAAACAAGTGTTTTAAACAAAATACTTGAATTGATCGAATTTGATTAAGTCATATTGAACTTTTGACAATTCATTTGAAACTAAAATTGCCTGAACTACGAGTTAAAATGAAGTTAAACATATGTGAACGTCCATGCGTAAATATAAAAATCGTCAAAATATTGTATTTTTGTATTGCTTAGCTCTAACCCTGTTTTAATCCAAGTTCATTAGATAGAAATATTCCGTATTATTTTTAAAAGAAAAAACTCTGTATAGTGTATATACACATGTAGGTATCTACATGTATTTTTTACTTACAGATTAATGGATGTTATTACTCATCACATTTGCTTTTAGTATTTCTGGAAATCGTATTTATCAAGAGAATGTTGTTCTTAAAAAAAAAATTGAAACAAAAAGATGATTTCATGATTTCAATATGGTTTCAAACCAAAGTGACTATATGGTCATAAATTTTACGTCAAAGAAAAATAGGTGAAGTCGAAAAAAAGATTTTGTTAATAGTGTGTTATGAAAATATTACGTCTTGAACTTGAAACTGACTAATTCATTAAATAGTATTAATATTTAAAATTTATAAAAATAGATTATTTTTCGTGTACAATTTAAATTTTAAACTTAAATATAATTATTATATTTCTAATAAAACATTATTTAAATTTTAATATTTTATATTTTATAGACATTTTTATTATTTTGAATCTAAATATGTTTTTATATTATAAACTTGAGATACATCAAGTCAAAAAAAAAAAATAAAAAAATAATTTAAAATTTTAATTCCAATAGATTATGTATTTATTGTATTCCAAATTGAAACAATATATAGATAGATTATAATTCATTAGTATTTTTAATAAAATACGTAATTTTTACGTATAATTATAATAGTTAAATTTTTCGCATATGTATAAATATATTAAATACTTAGAAAATATGTTCCAGTAAACTATACTTATTGCTTATTAGAAATAATATAGCTCGTGGTATAATTATTTATATATTTATTTTATTGTTTAAATATGGATAATTTTAATTTTGTAATTAGATTATGTATTTGTTATTTATTGTTACTCGTAATACTTATTTAAAAAATTTGGCATTAAAATATTATTTGAAAGTAAAACGTTCACAAGATGTTAAAAAGCATGTTATTATTTTTAATTTACAATAAATTACAATAAACAATAATTGTTATACTAAAAATGTCAGTAAACAGATTTTGGTAATATTACCTGTTTGTTAGCCCAGGTATAGGCAAACCATCTGATAACTCTTGCTTCTAACTCCTTGGAAACTCGTCGGAAAGCCATGTACTGTTTGACACCGTCCATGCGGTTTTGGAACTCTACCCTAGCCACATTCATGTTGCTGATCATACTGCCGATATTTCCCACGATCGTGGCAAAAATGAGTACACCGGCGAGGAAATCGGCCACCACGAATACGTGTTCCAGTTCGTTTTCCGGCTGCGGTGTCTCACCTGCAAACCAAATGATAATTACCTTATATTATTTCCAAAGTTATAGTATTTCAAGCGCATAAGTTTAACAAATAGATACACACACACACACACACACACACACATATATATATATGAAGAGAATAAGAGAAAAGAATATAAAAGATAACATCGGATTAAAGTGCATATAGTAGTACAGTGTTTTATTTTGGACGAAAACCACACTTTATCCCAGTAAAGCGTGAAAGGGAGTGATAAAGCTGTAGGTACGGTTATTTTTCTTGTGGTTCAATAGTCGTTTAACTTTAATCCCCGTCCCATCAATACTCTTATTTGAGTAGGTACACTGGGGGCCACATTTATGTGGACTAAAAAAATGAGCGATAACAATCGACCAACAGAATACACAACGAATCCTCACATCGATTTTATGTAACAAAGCAAACCTCTTTAGACGGTCTACTAGAAACTTGCTATAGATTTTGGTGTTTGTTATTTGTACAAGAAGTAAAAGAAAGCAAAAGTTAAAATTTAATTAAGTTCGTAACTTTTTCAATGAGATTGTTAGTTTTACTTTGGTATTGATCCTTATTACACTATAATATTATTATAAGATGTACAAATAACATAAATCATCTGGAGAAGTTTTAACTAAATTTCTTAGAGAAAATATACGATTTATTGTAAGGTGTACAGTGATATTTCGTGGAACTATAATGTGTATAAATTGTATATCGATTTTATACTTGAAAATTATTTTCTACTCATTTAGATAACTTTAATTAAAAAAGATTAAAATACGCTAGTTTATATATAAAAAGTTGCTAATTAATTTAAAAATAATAATATACAATTAAGTATTTGAACATCTATTTTGAATTTACGTATACCTAACCTATTCGATAAAAACAATAGTTTTTCGACCAAAAATTAATCAATTTTAATATACGTAAAATGTAAGAGAATGAATTTGACTCAAAGATTGACACAACTAATCTTTTTGGAAAAAATATTATGCGTATAATTAAAATAACGTTCTGGAAGTAATATAATCGTGGATTAAGAAGAGGTAAAGTTTTAACATCATCGTACTATTATAATACGTCATATTTTATACTATATTAAACATTAATGTACCTATTGGAGTATTGGAATATTTTATACTAATATTTGATGTACCGCGTTTCTAAGGTTTAGCTATATTAAAAATATTTTAAGTGACAGATTTTCCATCTTTGTCGAACTGAATAAGTGTCATTGGACAGCACGGTTAAACCATATAATATGGAACACATCCGTTTATGTCGGATGTCACGCTTGACGACGAACAATAGGTAAGTGCAATATTCTTTCATCCGCTTTTATGTGTAGTTCAAATAAATACGCGTAATGTAAATAAACGTTGTTATACTGTTTACGATGGGTTGGCGAGAGGTCTAGAAAACACCGATGGCTTTGTAATATTTTTTGACGGCAAGAAAAAAAAAATGTTCTGTTTTTTTTCACTGTTCACCGGCTGATTATTATCGACCATTTCTGTCGTGCTAAATATTCATGAGATGGAGTTTTTTTGCACGACCATTCCCGATATGATATAATAGTATCATATATTAAGCCTAAAATTATATGGGCGCAGTCGGTGAACTATATTATTATGTGTCACTACCACAACGGGTTTGAGATTGACAACGATGGAAATTTAATAAATATTTATCATCATAATATGTTCATCTGTACTCAAATAATTAACTGTCTTTGATTGATTACATTAATTATTATGTGTAGAAAAAAAAAAATGTCGATCTTTTTCAATCGTTTAAGGTTTTAGTTTTTGACCATAGGAAACAATAATTTTAATATTTAATCAAAACAAGTGATAGAACGGTTTAAATTATTATTTAGAACTTCATTCGAAAGTTTTAAGAGAACGGTTGACTTCATTAAATTCATAAATTGGTAGCGCGAAAATATAAAATAGTATTTACTTCGAAAACATATTATTTTCATTGATAAAACAATAACTTGTTCTTTGAAATGTGAAATTACATAATAAAGGATATGGGTTTAATCTACTCGTTGGAATTTATTTGCATTTATCGTTACGATACAATCGCACGAGTTATTAGGACTGAATAACCAGACAAATAATATCGTTAGGTATCTTCATTAAAACTATTAAACGTGTCTAAAAGATTAAATCACCATTAATGAAATAAATAATCGTTACTCTTCTTGCATGTACAGTTAATATGATTGAGGTATCGAAATCTCTAACTAAAATTAGACTGGTAAAAAAAAAAAAAAAAAAAAAAAAAAAGAAAGAAAGAATAGTGATGCAATATATGCGTTCAAGTGTATTGATCATTTTAAATTATTAAAACGAGTTTCGAACACATTATAATATATTATATTATACTGTCAGGCTATAATAGATTGAATATTACCATTACAATGCTATAAAATAAATAGCGATTCGTACGTTTAGTTCGGTCGTACCATCCGTATAATAATAAAATACTCCTCGGTGTTCGTTAGTAAAAGTTATTTTTATCGTTATTGTAAATTTTCCAACAACGGTAATAAATACTCTGCAACCAATACCAAGCTATACATATACCGACGGACGCGTTAAGATCGTACACCGTATAATAATATAAATGATGATTTCGGTAATTTATTCACACTCCCCACACCCCGGTCTTACGTAATCGGTCGACTGGGTTTTTCGCACGGCGACCGGATCGGTAAGAAAATCTTCGCTCTACCAGCGTACAAATAATAATGTAAGTTATACATTGTTATTATTATTATTATTACTGTTATACAACGGTTTTACCGCCGATTATTTTCCGCGCGACATACATTCCGCATTAGCATCGTCGCCGCGGCACGAAGAAAGGTGGAAAATTCGGCAATCGAGAAAATCGAGGAGACCACCGTCACGCGGACACGATTTTTCTAGGGTCATTTCGTGTCGGGGATGATGAATGACTGTGAATTTTCTCTGCACATCTCGCGCCGCGCCACAAGCAACACCGGGAGCGTCCGCCGTGTCAACCGAACGCACTCGTTTTATTTTTTTTCCGTTTCTTATATCGCTCACGCGCACACATTTTGAAACTTGAAACATATACACGCGGTGCGCCCGTGTGGGCAAAATGTCTGTTAGATGATTTTTTACAGGGTCCTCCGGCGGTGTTTCACTATTATTATTTTTTTCTCCCTTCATTTGTTTTAGCGGGCGCGACAGATGTTCGGGGACAAGATAAAATCGCTGGTTGAATCAGCACGAGCCGAGACGAATTATTAATCTTGCGCCGCTTCCGTCAGTCGCATGTCCATCACTTTGCATTATATATTGTGCGTAGCTAATGTTATAAATGGCTCCCGGGATTTTCTCCCTCCTGCAGTTTTTTAGGCGTGTTTTTGTTTTAAAACAAAAGTGGAGAAACTAAAAATTAATTTCTGACTAAATGGTTAGGCGGCGGTACTCGAGACCACCTGTACAATTATGATATTTTATTCTAAAAAAAAAAAAAAAAACCACTTAACGCTCATAATTCAAATAATCATGCCTACTATTTATACATATGTTTTTAATATGTATAAATAAATATTATATTTTTTAAACCTTACAAACTGTAATATATTTAACCAAGACTATACTTAACTCGTAATCTATATTTTCTCATTATGATTACAATACCCAGTTGTTATAATTTAAAATATTTTTAATTAGCTGATTTTCTTATTCAGCTAATAACGTAATATAATATTTTATTTTGCAGATTGTAATCATACCCAAAGACTAATTTCTTGTTAATTCAAAATTTTCAATAAAAAATATTATACAACGAAGTTAAATCCAAGTTAAAATATATCACAAAGGAATAAAGGTATATTATATTATTATTAGTTAAATAAAAATAAACTTGTTATAATATGAAAACTATATTTATACTGAAGAAGTCTTAGAATATACTTTTTAATAAAACAATTTAAAATTACTTACAAATAAATTTATTCTATATACTAGAATTTAATTACATATATTTTTTTTAGCATATTATAATTTTCTTGACGATGAATATTATTAGAAAATTAATTTTTGGTGTTTAAATTTATTGTTTATCCTATTAAATGTAAAAATATGTTTTTTTTTTTATGAAATCATTAACTTATTTTGTTTATTTGAAATATGTCAATATTCCGAGGTTATATTATTTGAAATTATAATATACTTGTTTAAAATTATATATATAACTATATATCTAATAAACGAATAATTACAACAACAAAATGGTGATAAACTTTAGAAGTTGAAAAATATTCAATGATAGGTACAAAAAAAAAAAAAATGGTTTAATTTATTAGTATTTTCAGTTTATAATTTTATTTAATTAGATTAATTTAGATTGATATATATTTTTGAATATGTACCCTTGGGAAGAAGATGAGTTTTAAAAGCTTGATAATAGCTATTCTTGATGGTTAATAAAACAAATAAGTGGTATTTTAAAGGTTTTTTTTTGTAATTTTCCAATGTTTTCAAGAAAGTTCATATTAACGTTACAATAATTATTTATATTAATGCATTAAAATAAATTAAGAAATCTTATAAATAGTCATTACGTCATGATATAATTTAAAAATTGTTATATAACTTTTGTACATAAAATTGTGGAAAATAATAAATTTATTAAAGGTTTTTTTGGTTTAATTTAAAATTAATTGACCAATTATCGTTCATATTAAATAATTTAGTGTATTTAATAATAATTTTTTTTTATACTTGAGTTTTGAAATTTAATACTATACGTATTATACTATTTACCATTTTTTAGTTGTAAAAAAACCTATATTTGATTATTATTAACTATTTTTATGAACAATTATAATTATAATAATTACTAATAAATACGCTTTAGCTAGGTTAGGTTAGTTTAAAATATGTCTCAATGATGTACTGCATAATCTCAATACTACACGCGGGTCACTCATTCGACTATGTCCATCATATTTTTTATACATATTTCATAATAAAATTTGAGTTTCAATAAGAACTGAAGTAACTATATGAATTTCATTAAATATGGTTTCTTATTGATTTTGTCTTTAAAAAATATTTATTATGATGAGTTATTATTAAAATATATTTGAATACCTATATTATCATTAAAAATATTAGGATTTCAACCGCTTAAACCTTTGGACGATGGCCAATTTAGCATAAAATTATTATAAAATAAAACTTTTATTTGGCATAATGCCCATTTAATCACCTCAAGTGGACATCTTAATCTACGGTTTAAACTGTTTTACTAAAGAAAAAAATATTGTAATTCCCAGAGACATTCGGCTAAGCATGCAAAGCACTTATATATATATAGTTCTCTTTAATAGGTTTTTTTTATTATTTTTATTATCTCTTCTTTCTTTTAATACAAATTTTTTTGTACGCGTACTCCACAACGTTTTTAAAACATTGCGCTACATTTAAAACATTTATTTTACAGGCATCATGAAGAATTTCGCACTGTTTTTTGATTAAGTTCTATTGTATATTGATATGTTTTGCCTTACCTATAGTTGTGAGCGTGAGCGTCGACCAATAAAAACAGTAAATGTACTGTCTAGAAAGTGATGAATTCCTAGTACCTTGCAAATTGTACACCCAGTTATCCGACCCAAATCCGATAACATAGCTTATAGCAAAGTATAAACATGAATTCCAGTGTATGAGTATAAGTATGGCGAACACCACCTTGCAAATTCGGAACACGTTTGGGTATCCAGTTTTGGTTTCCGTGCGGTCAAAGAACTCTAGCATCCTGGGTACTCGGAGCAGTCGATTGGCACGGACGATTACAGGACAGGGCAAGACGTATGCCGAACAGCTGCCTGACGGCCACCATAAGTACGCCAAGTCGGTGGGAAGCAGACTCAGAAAGTCTGATTTCCATTTGGATGTACTGAAGTAGTTTTCCCGTAGCTTATGAGAATTGCGGACCATGAGACCTTGGTCCAGGAAACCTAAAAACAATGTTAATGACAATCGGTGTTAATAAATACTATGATCATTACTATTTGAAACGGATGGTTGTTGAACTATAAAAATATAAAATCAAGTTCACTCGTAGAAACGTGTAATGAACAATTTTTTAAACGATCCAATTCTTATTTCCCAATAATTGAACTATGCCATTGTTAACCTCATTGGATAGTTATGTATTTTTAAACGAAAAATAAAAATCGATCGATGAATGTATTTTGAAAATTATTATTCCCGACGGAGAATATAGAAATTACGATGAAATTATGTTGTACTGGTACCGTGTCAAGTTGGTTTTATAGAGACACTCAAGCTTTTCGTTTTGAATAATTCCAATCTATACCTCTAGAATATACGAAACTTTTGATTTTCAGCGTAATACATTAATTTTATAAGGAAGTTTACACTATTACACCCTTAGTGGTTTATCGATTTCCATTTTATTTTTTATTTTTTTTTTTTATTTTGACAGATTTATAATCCATTTAAAGTGTAAAATTAGTGAATGTAAATTGTAATAATAAAGTAAATATGACAAGAAAGTATTTGAATTAATGAGATTTTGGCAGATACCAATTAAAAAATTGTAATTACTAAATTTGTTTGCATTTATTTTTATTTAAGTACATGTCTGGTTAGATTTTTTTGAATCTTCTGTGTACATTACTTGAAAGTGAAGATAATTGTTGAGATGGATTCTCACGATAGCTTAGAGACATGCTATTTAATTATTGGTGTAGGCATTATCCATGAAAATTTTTGTTTATAAAATATCATACAAAAGAGGTTATTCATGGCAGGCCGAGAATGTGTTTATAAAATAACATAATCGTATGCTCATTGCTCATAATAATACATAATATGCCCAACTTATTATTTTTTGGAAAATCGTAATACTTTATATTGTATAAATGTATAATCGATGAGCACGGCCATCGCAGTCTTCATTCAGTGGTCTCCATCATGGCGTTTATTGTGAAAAGCTATACAGGATTTTTAAAACAAAACCTATTGCCGTTGTAGGTTTATTATATGAAACGAACGCAATAATACCATGACGTCCGCAATTGAAATTCCAGATGGATTGAAAACGACACGATAATATAATAAAGAGGTATATGTTATGTGCTGGATAATGTACGTATATACACATGTTCATTGTGTTACCTGTCGTCGTGCGGTGGTGATAGGGTAAGATATATTATAATAAGTAATGACACATCGCGTCGAAAGCACGACGACGTATAAAGACGGATTTGGAGTTTTTTTTTTTCTTTTCGATTTCTCTCTTATGGTTATCGCCATCCGGTTTGTATGGGTTCGGTATAGTGACGGCTTGCTTGGGTGCAGAGGAGGTGAGGCACTTCTGTTGGTTATTTATTTATTTTTTATTCCGGCGTATAAAATACGGCACCGCACGTTGGCCGATGGTTTGCAAACATATTATTATTATTATTTTTGTCCGGCACTCTGTGATAGTGCATTGTGTGAATGTTTAGGCAAAAACGATCGCACGCACACATGCTCATACCCATGCACATACGCACCCACCTAAATATTATACGCACATATATATGTATATATATATATATATATATATATATATATATAGAGAGAGAGACCTATTAATATTTACGAGACCTTAACGTATATCGTGTCCAAACCACCCCGCTGTCACCTCATGTATATATAATATATTATATACGTATATAAAATACTAGTGGCAATACGTATCGGTCCCCGAACGTTATTAATGATGTCCCCCGGAACTCGGTGGGACCGGATGTTGTAAATAAAAGTGCGTGCGCGCGTTTTATTTCCCAGTGTGATTTACTGCCGTCGTCCTACACGCGTGCGTGTGTGTGTGTGTGTGTGTATGTGTAGTATCTGCGCGCGGAAGGAATTGGCTCCTCTTCCCAAACCCTCACCTATTAACGTGGGCAGGGAAAGACCACCGTCTCGCGAAAGCGAGAAATTTGTCACACTTGGCAATCGAATCGGCCGGAAAAATGTTGCGATGCCACCCGATCAGGCGTGCGGCGGACGTGGGTATGGTGTCCGCAGCTGTGTGCGCTTATGCACGTGCCGTACACGTAAACATACGTATAACGACACGAATGACGTACGAACACAATGCTATCATATCGTCTTGTCCGAATTCTTTGGGAAATCGATTTTTCACGCGCACGCACACAGGTGAGTCGCTGGCAATATGATTGTCCGCAGCGCACTTAAATATCAATCGAGTCGACACGGCTAGCGACTTAATTATGATTTTGCGCTCGTAAAAGAAAAAAAAAAAGAAATATGCTACCAAACAGACGTGGGGTTAGAACCCTGGTTAGCCGACCAGTACACTCGCAGGTACATTAAAGCAATGTTTATTATTTTTGAATTACTTCAAACACGATTGGAAGTTTAAAATCTGTACACAATATTATGTTATCCATTTTAACTATAGAACTCAAAATTTAGTTTTTAATTTAATTTGGAGTACGTGTATATTATAAGATATGTATGGCATCATTTTTATTCTAATTCTTTATCTGTGTTCGTTTGAGGTACATTCAAATAATTTTGTGTTTATTATAATCATAACACAAATGAACTGAAAATCTTTATACCTAGTTAAAACAATAATTAACTATGAATATCAGAAATAAAGTTAAAATTATAAATTTTTGGTTTATATTACTAGTTATGAATAAACAAACAAAAAAAAATATATATATATTTTTGTGAAGCGGTTTACAGTCAACTTCGTTATGGCGTCTCTTGAGTATACTATATCAGAATAAAATTATTTTAAATTAATTTAATACAATATAAATTTAATGTTTAATATCCTAATATGTGTAATTTTATATAATATTGAATATTATATGTTAATGTTATGATGAAACGATTAAATTCGATGTCAACAGTATAAACAATTTTATTATCGTTAATGTATAGATTTTTTTTTTCCTGCAGCAAGCTTTATATTACTGTATATTTCGTGTTTAAATCATAAATAATCAAAAATTTGTAACAGGAATTCAAATTAAACGTCAATGCTGTTTCTTATAATAGTTATAATGATTTTAAATTTTAATCATTGTAAAGTATTTATAGCATTTTCAGTTTGTTTCATTTTTTTTTTTTTTTTTTTTTTTTTTTTTGATTTCGGATTGTGTTTAATTGATTTTCTATCCGCAGTCTTGGCTTGTTTTTCATTTTTAAAAAATATCGTTCTTTTCTTTATAACATTTTAACACAATGGTTTTTAATAAGAATTTTAAATTAGCTACGTGATTTTATTAAATATGTTAAACTTTAAATACAATGTTAAGTAAAAACAGAATTCCATTATAAACTGTAGTCTTTGTTCTGTCATGATTAATCTAGAAGACGAATAAGATTAAAATTATTGTATATTGCAATAAAAGTCCATGTGACTACTTGTTGTATCAATATGTGATATATAGGTTTACAATCAGCTAATTAAAAATAATTATGTAAAACCATAAATTAAAATATTTTTTAGAAACAGTTGTTTGGACGTCTGAGAGATTGAAATCTTTAATATTTAAAAATTCTGGATCGATAATGTTTTCACTATTTAATAATATGTATTTTTATACTGAACGTGATACTTATGTGTCATAAATTGCGACGCAATACAAAAAATAAATACCTATATTGGAAAAAGAATTATAAAATAAATAGATAATAATACTATTGGTATTTTTCTCCAAACTTACATTAAGATTTTGGAGATGTAAGGCTATACATTTTATAAATGCCTAATATGAAATAAAAAATATATATATTACATAATATATAAAATATTTAAAAAAAAATTTATCTCTTATACCTATATATTTAATTAAAAAATGTTTTCTAGCTGTTGCTAAAGCAAATTTTTGTATAACGGAATATAATTTAGAACTATTAAAATATGTTTTATTTTTATAATCTAAATTTGTTTTTAATATAAATATGTTTATTCATATTAATAATTAAAGGTATTATAAGTATTTTTTTTATAAAAAAATATTTACAAAATATTTACATGCAATAAGTTATTATCATAGTATTATAAACGTATGGGAAAATATAGAAACTCTTAAAAAAACATCAAGTCTTGTGGGGCACATGACTCCTACCTCTCCTTTTTAATCTTCGATTGCTGTTATTTACTGATGGAATTAAATCAGTAAAGTCGCAAGATCTTTTAACTGCTTTAACTATTAAATAAATATTATTTATATCGATAATAATTCATTATACTATTTTATAGTTAACTAAATACTATAATAAAATTAGGAACATGATCAACATAGGGTTTTAAAATTGATAGTGTAAAATAAGTCGCTATTTATTTGTGTATAATTGCTTGTTCTTGTATTATTTCGATAAATTCTATTAGTTATTAACTAATTATAACTATTATCAATAATAAATTATAATTTAATAATGTTGTTATAATTTTATAAACGTGAAATTAAGTTGTTAAGAAATTTTACTTAGCATTTTATAATTAAAGTATTATATCCTATATTAATTATAATATTTTAGTTCAGAAACAATGGGAAGGGTACATTAATGTATTCCAGTGGAGATGAGCTTGGGAGGGATAGTCTGGAAAGATTTCCTTCTTGCTTGCTAAATCCTCTCTCTTCAAATATTATAGTATATGAATTGCTATAAATATTAGGTAATTTTAAACCATTACTGATATTAATGATTATTATCTTTAAAAAAACTGTTCACGTTGATCAATATTATACGTATAGTAACGGCAAACGCTCAGTTACATTCGTTTCCGTTTTTTTCCCTGTGTCGTTTTTTTTAATTTTAATGACGATCATTACAGTTAATTTTTACTGTAAATACTAATATTTCTGTCCAACAAATCATATGATTCCAATTGGTCGTAAATCTTGTTTTATAATAACAATAATAATAATAATTATTATTATTATTTTACTACTGTTAT